TTAACATAAAAACAAACACAAACCTAAGTTGGGTTGCCTCCCAACAAGCGCTACTTTTACGTCGTAAGATAGACGGTTGCTCCTCAAGTTTCGGTCCATCCAAGAACCTCCTTGAAGTTTTGGTTCTTGTCAGTGAGATGAAGTCTCAAGCCACGAGCATTGGACGAATCCATGATTGAGGGCTCATGAACTTGATCGGCTTAGAGGCTCCACCCACGAGACCTCTTCTTCTTTCTATTTGCCCCACACCATGTAGTCCATCATCGATGAACTTCCATTGCATCCGCCAAGAGGGATCACCAAAGGTTTGGCCTTGTCTTGGCAAAGAGCCGCAAATGGGTCCTTCTCCAAAAGCGCATCGAGGTCGGGTGGAGAGCTTTTATAACACTTGTAACTTATGGATGCTTCATCCACAACAACCTCGTCCTCATCTTGGACCGCACTTGCTCCTTCTACTTCTTCCTCAACCTCTTTTCCTTCTTCTTCACTTTGTTCCTCCCCTTGGGAATGATCAAGATCTTCCTCCTATTCAAGGATCCCTTGCTCCTCTTCAACCTCCCCCTTCTCCTTGCCATTTGTGTCTACAAGCATGGTTTGGAAGGCAAGATGACATGCAAGATCATAGAAGGGATTCTCTTGTTTCTCCATACTCGTGATTTGGTCTTCAAAGTTTCTCTCGGGACGGGAAAGTGATGAGATTCATCAATGCAACCTTCTTATTCATCCTCACCTCGAGAGCTCTCTGGGTTGAGTTCATCTTGCTCCACATGGTTGGCATTGATTTCCCCTTTAAACTCCTCTTGCTCTTCCAATTGTGAGAGGCGATGATGTGCACAAGCTTGTGCCACCTTCTCTTCTAATGTCAAACTAGGATGAGGGAGGGGTTGAAAATCTATGTAGGAGCTCGTTCTAATGTTAAACAGCTCAGCTTCTGCAATTTGTGTATTGATTTTAAGTTTTAGCAATAAAATGCCAAATTGAAAATGCAACTTCACCTTTTCGTTTGTCCTTTCCTTCAACGTGCTCTCAGCATCGTCATATCCAACTATCTGTTAGGGATAGTCTAGTATAGGACTACGTAATTTTGTTGTTTTCAGGGTTGTCAAGTGTAATTGTACTTTGTAGGTGTTAGGTGGTAATTTGGTTATGAATATATACTTGGCTATACAGTACAGAACAATCACTTTGCTCTATTAAACAACTAAATGAGAAATAGAATGATTCTTTCGCATCCTTGATTTGTAATTCTAAAAGAGTTGTCAGAACAGAAGCGTGCAATCGATAATTCAAATCAACACAAACGAACACAAATTTAACGTGATTCACTAACACAATGTGTGCTAGCTAATCCACGGGCAGGGGAGAACAAATTTCACTAATTGGAGGAGAGTACATGTTACAAACCAAATTCCGGAACGTACAAACCAAACAAACTAATCCGACTGACCTTACTACAGTCTAGGGTGATGAAGAGTATTTATAGAAATTTTCTCCTAATCCCAAACAGAAAACCAAACACCTTTTCTAAACCTACAAGGAAAAGGCCAAAACAAAACCCAAACATAAACCCAAACAGGGCCCAAAACACAAAACAAACCCAAATCAAATTCAAGTCATATTCTAACAATATCCACCTTGACTTGAATTCTCTCTCAAATACCAGATGTACCAGACACAACAAAAGTTGCCAAATGTACCCAAACGCGATCCATATCACCAAATTTGCCCATATGTGATCGAAATCACCTAACTCAAACGTGATGCAAATCGCCAAACACAGATGCAATCAAGATTTCCAGACATACCAAACTCCTCCAAATCAGCTGTACCAAAATCTCCCCTGCCTCCAAATGCCCCTAAGGGCGGTTAACAAATCAAAACATGCAGCAAGTCCCACCCATGTTGTGACATGCCATGCAGAACCAACTTGGTGTTATTTCCGTGCATAACACCAACATCAAATTTACTGGTAACTACAAGCCTGCAACTCTAAATTGACTTCTCGATCTTCAAATCCATAACAAACATCCTTGATTATCAAAAACCATAACCCCAACCAACTAATTCCAAAACAAACCAAAGCGCATCAAACTGGTACAACCTTCAAAGAATTCCAAATGACGCAAAAAAAAACCCAAAGTTTCGCAACAAATTCCAACCGGCGCAACTCTTCCAGTTGTAACCCAACTCAATTGTGTAGCCTTTGCTTGTTCCCTCGCCAATTCCGAACTCCAAAGCCACAGCAGAGCACAATTTTCTCCTACCAAATCAAATTTGGAGAAAAACTGAAGGGCTTCCTCTGCCAACCCCAAATCGAAAGACTACCTCCTGATACCGCAGCAATCACCACGATCCCTTTGCCCGGCCGACTAACCAGGCTCTGATACCACTTTTCAGAACAGAAGCGTGCAATCGATAATTCAGATCAACACAAACGAACAAAAATTTAACGTGGTTCACTAACAAAATGTGTGCTAGCTAATCCACGGGCAGGGGAGAACAAATTTCACTAATTTGAGGAGAGTACAGGTTACAAACCAAATTCCGGAATGGACAAACCAAACAAACTAACCCAACTAACCTTACTACAAACTAGGGTGATGAAGAGTATTTATAGAACTCTTCTCGTAATCCCCAACAGAAAACCAAACACCTTTTCTAAACCTTCAAGGAAAAGGCCAAAACAAAACCCAAACACAAACCCAAACAGGGCCCAACACACAAAACAAACCTAAATCAAATTCAAGTCATATTCTAACAAGAGCTATAGTGGCTCAATTTTCTTTTGTCTTCTCCTCGATTATGAGTTCTAGAGTTTTACTTCTTCTTTACAATGGCGGTCGCTCAACATGCAGCAGCTCCGATCATTCCTCTAGCAATCAATATCGACACCAATCATTCGTTCTTCCCCAATCTGAATGAGAATCCTGCTCTGGTTCTTGTTTCAACACTCCTCTCCATGGCGGAAACTATTAATCTTGATCGCGCTCCATGCAAATGGCTTTTCTGGCAAAAACCAAGTCCGCGTTTGTAAATGACAACGCACTGTGACAAGAAGATGGAAATCCTCTTCTCCTGGCTTAGGAGCACGGGAATCTGATGGTGCTCGGCTGGATCTATCAAACTCTGGAGCCAATTATTGCTCAGAGTATTCTCTAGCTCGATTTTGCTCGGGGTCCTTCAATGAGATCCTCTGCCTCGGATCAATTGCGTATTTGCTCAAATGGTTCAGCAGGAGCGTGAAGTGCACTATAGATATGCTTCCAGTTCGACTGCTCCACCTCCAATGACACTTGCTGGAAATTATTCTCCCGATCAGTCTCAAGGTGGTGCTTCGAACAATCAAGGAAGAAGAGGTCCCAATGACAACTCCAAAAGGCCAGTCTGCACCTTCTCTGGGTATGCAGGGCGTACAATTGAGAAATGCTTCAAGAAGCATGGGTATCCTCCTGGATACAAACCTAAAGGCAAGGCAATCAATGATGTTTATGGTTAGGGTGATTCTTCTTCGACTCTAGCAGCAACGAAAGAAGCCACTGATGGTTTTACCCTCTCTAGAGATCAATATCAGACTATTCTGGCACTGATTCAACCCCAAGCAATCTTGGGTCAATCAATTTGATGGCTATCTCAGGAGCTTCTCCACCGAATCACTCAACTTCAGCATTGTATGTCGATGCTGCTACTGCACAGGCTACATCATCTACTTCTCAAATTGCCTATGAGGAGGTAGCAGGTAAGATAGTTCTCTCCATACTAGATGAACCACATACTAAGTCTCTAGAACAAACATGGGTAGTATACATAGGTGCTACTGGCTATGTGGCTTGTTCCTTGCCCATGTTTATTTCTTTTAACACTGTGTCTAACTCTTTTGTTACATTGCATAATGGATCAAAAGTTAAAATGACATTAACTTTGATATGTTTTGAAACATAAAAAGAATCGAGACATATATTACCATTGTATACCAGGTGGTAATGTCTGACAATACGTAAGATTATACATAGATGGTATAAGTGTGTACCATGATGGTATGGAGTACCATAGTTTAAAATGGTTGTATATATGATAGTAAGAATATACCTCTGTTTCCATAACTGGATTGGACGATGTACCAAAAAAGTTAGTGGTTTAGAGTTCAGTGGTTAACCGTTACAAAACAGTTGGTTAACCATTTATAGAGCGTTCGTGATATATGACATACAAGACTTGTATATTACACTAATTTAAGAATGAAGTTATCAATGATCATAAATGATAGGGCAAAAGCGTATGTGGCTAGTTCCTATCTCGTAGTAAACCGGAAGTCCGGGTATCGTCTCTTACAGACTGGTACAACCATAATTTCTATAAAATCTATGGCGCAAACTGCAAATGAAAATAGTTTAATGAGACTAATTTCTAAAAGAAATTAAACTTAACAAATTATGTGAAAATTGTCAGGAGAATTATTGAGAGAAAGCTCTAGGAGAAACACATGGACTTACTACTTATCATATCCATATTAATTCACATATTCCAATAAGTTTAATCCATATCTCTACAACTAGGATATCTCTATTGTGCTAGCTATCCCTGTCGCGAATTGCTACGTACTAAACAATTAAATCAAACCCTACTGTCGTAGCTCAATGAATTAATTATTTAGTCTGAAGATCGATATCCAAATCACGACTGCATAGCACCTTATTTAATCCACTGTCGCTTCGATAAGTTGCTATGTCACATGAACTAGGTTCAGTTAATAGGGTTTCACTGTCGCTAATAGCCTAATTAACTACAAATCAATGTATCGGTGTCCAGTCAACACAAAGCATTAAGTAATTCCATGCCATAGAGATTGGAAGAAAAGAAATATAAATGATCCATGAAGTCTAAAAATAGCTACCATTTTCTCCAGAAATTGGGTTTTAGTTCAGGATGAAAATAGAACACAAATCCATGTTTATAATCATCTTATTATAAATCGAGGGATAAAAGATTAGAAAGAATTCACTCCGATGATCACTGATGATCGCAGCCCGTAGGGCTGAACTGCTTCTCCCTTGCGATAGGGAGCGGATATACAAACAACACTCATAGTGTTGTTATACTAACAACAAGATTCATAAGGGTAAAAGGGTAAACTAACACAAAATAATAAATTAAAATTAAAAAAATAAATATTCAATCCCCAGCCTTGCCCTCTCCGTCTCTCGATCTCTTCTCGCAGTTGCTGCCTGTGAAATCGAGAGGCCTCCTCCTGATCCTGTCTCCCACGCCGCTATCCAGAAACCTCTCCGGCCAAAATGATTTCGCAATTCCTTCTCCGTCCAGAGCTTCACGACAACCAGCGATAGCAGCAACGACCACAAAGAGAAGAGATAGATGGAGTTCGCGAAGGTAGCGGCAGAAGGAAGTGACGGTGGCGGAAGAACGGAGAAGGCGGGGAGAGTGGGAAGCGGCAGAGGCTTCGTTATCGCCGGAAACAACGGAGGAGATTTCCTTCTCCCCGATTTTCCTTGCATGTTCCTCGCGCGGCCGCCACAATTCAGTCCGCTTCGTCAATCCACCGTATCTAGCAGCTGCAGAAACCTAATTGCCCCTTTCGACGACAAAGCTGTGGCGCTGCTCGGATCGTCACTTCATCTCTCGCCACTGAGTACTGCCTCCTCGTGAACAGTTGCTTTACCTCTTTCAGCTTCTGAGCATGTTTTCCCCTAGGCAGCAGCACTGTGCCATCAATTGCTTCTCACCATGGCGCCTGCTGGTAGTGTTTTTGCGACCGAATAAGGAGAAGGAAGGATGGAGGATCGTAGAGAAGGCCATATATATGGATGACCGGAGGAATTTTTGTTTACTGGTTAAGAATGGAGAAGGCAGTTCAGCACAAGAAGGGAAGTGGTATTAAACTGTAAAACAACTGGGGGTGAAGGTAGCAAGTTGCTGGTCAGAGTTTTTGGACGGTTCTTATTTGATAGCTAGCCTGAAAGAAAAGCTCATACAAAATCCTTTTTCAACAACTCAAGTTATAGTTATTTATTGGAATTAAATGGTTTGTTCGCTTATATGGTATCATAGTCTGTGGCTGCCAATATAAACAATCATTTAGTGCAACAACAATATATATGTTCAACATGCAAAACAAAAGAGTAATGAAAAGTTAAAACAAATCATTCTCAACAAATCGAGTTATTGACACTAAGTGATTTTTTATTTTGAAAAGCACACCAAAAACCCCCTAATGCAAACCACAAACACGGTAAAGCAAACCAAAAACATCCTAATGCATACCACAAATATATTAAAACAAACCAGAAACCTCGCAAAGTAAACCACAAAAGTTTCGAAAGCACACCAGAAACTTCTTAATGCAAACCAGAAACCTCTGAATGCATACCACAAATCTCCTTAAACAAACCACAAACCTCACAAAGGAAACCACAACATTAGCGAAGCACACCAGAAACCTCCTAATGCAAACCACAAACACAGTAAATCAAACCACAAAAAAGCAAACCATAAACGTCCTAATGCATACCACAAATATATTAAAACAAACCAGAAACCCCTCAATGCAAACCACAAAATTTTTGAAAGCAAACCACAAAAGGCATAAAAAAATATGAGAAACCAAACCATAAATCTCACAATGCAGACCATAACATCCGGTGGTCGTTGGTCGTGGACCGGTCAACGAAGTTCGTTGACCAAACTCTGATGACCATCAGTGAGTAGATTCCGGCGCCGATAGGCATATTCTGGCCCCGATGACTAGATTCCGACGACGGTAAGCATATTCCGACCACAGTGAGCATATACCGGCGACAAAAAAAATATTCCGCTCACGCTCAATTTTTTAAATTACTTATGAGAAAAGTTTTATTTTCCCAGAATGTTTTCATGTTCCAATTGAAGAATTTCCTTTTTTGATTATTTTCAAAAGGGAAGATTGGGCTTCTATTGAATCGAGAAATGGGGGCATTTCGAATTGTTTGTTGACACAGACAAAGTCAAGGAAAACCGGACGACCAGATTCCGGTGATCGGTGGCCGAATTCTGGAGATCAAAATTTTGGGCCGAAAATAAAAAAAATATTTTTTTTTTATTTTTAATTATTATTTAAACATATTTTTATAATAACAATTATACCCCTGCTTTCATTTTACACTAGGTCAACTCATCTAATAAAAAGTCATCACAACCCTAGCTTCCTATTGGTTGGAGACTAGTGTTGTTATAATAACAACACAAGGGGTGTTGTCATAGTAACCGATCCCCTTGCGATAAACTTCTGCTCGAGCCCTGTTTATTCAGTTCTATCCGTTCCTCTCGTCGCTACAGCTGGTCCCCAAAAGAATTCTCCAATCCCTCGCTGCTCCGCTCGACAGGCTCCGTACCCCGTCAAGTCTTTGTCCCAATATATATGTCAATCTCCGGTCCACCAAAATCATCCCCCTGGCCAATTCCGCCCAAGTCATTGCGGATTCACGGGTGGCACCCCGGGCCCCGGCCCAGCCCTCCTCTGGATCCAGAGTTAGTATAGTCTTTATGAATTTTTCGATTTTAGTTATTCGGCCCAGTGTTATTTTATAATAAGATTGGGTGTAACTAGAAAAATGATTCAAATTAACATATTCAAATCACTACTATAAATTTAGGCTAGAAATTCTAGCTCCAAAGATTATTCTTCTAAAAAAGCAATGAAATCTAAAAGTCTAAAACGTAAAAAACTATAAGAAATATGAGTTTTGTTCCCTGAAAATTTACTAAAGCGGCTAGTGGATATAGGTATGGACACACAATGCACGATTGATTTGTCTAGCGTTGACGTTGTTCGTATCACCAATTACTACGGAGAGAACCTTTTCAACAATGAAACATATGAAAACTAATTTGTGCAACAAAACAAGCGATGAATTTCTCGTTGATTGCTCAAGTATTTTATTTAAAACAATGTATACTATTGGTATGGATGTGGACTCCATTATTGATGTATTCGCTAAATTAAAATGTTGTCGTGTACAATTAATATTGTAAAAAAAACCATAATATTTTTTTACGGTTCTAATTTTCTAATAAAATGCGGCCCAATGCTCTTCTGTGTTCTGATCCGCCGCTGGTACAAGTAATTTCGTTCCCAACTTGGATCAGGCCCGATCCATTTAATTCGAAAAAAGTGCACCAATTAACTATTTCCCTGCGTCCTCATCATTTTGTTCATCATAAGGGAATTAGTTGTTCCCGTTCCAAAACGCTCTGGCATCAAGAGATGGGATGGGATGCCGGTCCAAATTGTTAGTTCAACTAGTTATTGTCCACTCCGGCTAAATTACACGTTTGGTCACTCAAATTACACAAATCTTTCTTGTTTGTCATTCAAATTACTTTTCTTTCTTATTCGCCACTAACTTTATGAATCGTTTCACCATTAGTCACCGGTCGTTAATCTCCGTCAAACTCCATTAACCCCGTCAGTTTTTTGATGACGTGGCAACGAAACTGATGACTGGACCGTTAACTAATGACGTGTCAATTTAAAAAAAAATTAAAAGAATCGCTGCGGAGCCAGGAGGGCGGTGATGATGAAGGACTTCTCCTGCGGACCGCGTCCCTGACCACTGTCCACTGCGACTCCACCTGCTCGTATTTCCCCAAGGCGACGGAGTCCCTGAGGCTGATGCTCGAGTACTGTGCTACTTATGCTAGCGTTTATTAGAGGAACAACGATTCGGGCTCGAATAATTATTACAGCCAGACTCTCAAGTATGGGGGCGCGGGTGGATTTTGATATTCCGGTGACTTCAATCGCCTGCAGAATCATTAGCCAAACACCGATCGCTTGTGGAATCGCGAGTAGAGACAGCTGTGTGCTGCTGCGGCTGTGAAATCGGTGGTGATTGAGCCAACGACGACGGGAAGCAGCTTGCGATGTGCAGAGCGAGAAGATGAGGATGGGGTGTTAAATTCATTTTTTTAATTTTTAATTTTTTTAAATTGACATGTCATTAGTTAACGGTCCAGTCATCAGTTTAATTTACCACGTCATCAAAAAATTGACGGAGTTACAAGTTTCACGGTGACTAACGGTGAAACGATTCCTAAAGTTAGTGGCGAATAAGAAATAAAAATAATTTGGGTGGCAAACGTGATAGATTTATGTAATTTGAATGACCAAACGTGTAATTTAGCCTGTCCACTCCATTTTCTTGTGCATCAATAATCTCTTGCTTTTCCACCTAAAATATATTACAAAACTAATATATGGCGGTAATGGTCTTATAACCATTCCAGAATCAATTGATCTTAAACACAAGCATTATATGTCTCAAACATATCATAAAATAATCACATTAAGCACATAGTATTAATATGTTTTCGACTATTATCAATATACAATTTCAAATTCATATCATCACCAAAACACCAAACAAATCATTCAAACTGTCACGACTGTTTCTGTGCGGAGCGGAAAATAAGAGGAACGATAAAGCAAGAATACGAAGAAAAAAAAGGAAACACGACACACGAATTTACGTGGTTCACCAACACAATGTGTGTTAGCTAGTCCATGGGTAGGAGAGTCCGTTTCACAATACTTCAAGAAGATACAAATTATAGAGGAGTACGAGAACTATTTGTAGTACTTCTACATGTGGTCTAACCCTAATCCAATATGGGAAAATAAAAGCATTTATAATTGGAGCCTGTAACATCCAGTTGTAGCCAGATAGTCTGATTCAAGTCACATGAACACAAACCATCTCACAAGAGGAATCATAATTCTCTTAATTCAAGTTAAAAATTGTGGTGTCATTCGGTTATGGACCATGTAAAGTCAACAACTAGGTTGGAAAATGAGAAGATGAAGCAAAAATAAATTTAACAATTCTAGTTTAATGATCTTACTTTACGTTAACGTATTTTTTTTAGAAAAAAATTGTGGTTAAATTAGTGAAATAGTAGACCAGTAAAACCATGGTGGTTGGTTTTATGTTGAACCATGGCAACCATGTGGTCCATCAATAACCGTCCAAGCAATGGACCGGACCGCTATCTATATTGGCTTGACGATTCTACTAGCCCAGCTGTTAATCCGATTCGATTCTTATAACAATTAAAAAATCAAGAAAATAATTTTATTTTTAATTTCACCTCTTAAATAGGACTCATTAAATAACCATACCCATTCAAATGCAAGGTTATATGCGCGCCGCTACTGGTTTGGGCTCAAATGTACATATTTTACCCCTCATTTCTTATTCGTTTAGCTTAGTATTTCATCGTTCCTCGACATATTTCACGCTAGGTTGTGCTTGTTTTGATACATTTCACGGCCGGACAAGGCAGTTCACGATCTCCTAAGACCGTGAACATGGACCACAAACCGTGAACATCAAGCAGTCCAACGAGGTTCGTGAAGTTATTGACGACAAGGCAGTTCACGATCTCTAAGACCGTGAACTGGGGCCATTGACCATGAACCCAGGCGAGGGAAGCGGCGCGTTTTGGACGACGCTGAGTTCACGAGCGCATTTAGGTGTTCACGGTTGTGAACTGGCCAACGCATCCGTAAACTAATCGTTTACGGGCAAATATGAAGACCGCAGCAGGGAGAGAGAAAGGAGAGCTGGTTTTTGGAGAAGAAACACTTTCTTTCTCTAGGGTTTCAATCCAAACACCAAAGGGGAGTTCTAGTGAGAGAGAGAGAGAGAGAGAGAGAGAGAGAGAGAGTGCTAGAGTGATTTTGGAGCATCATTGGAGGTTTGGGTGGAAGATTCAAGCATAGAAGAAGATCCTGAGCTCAAAATTGTTCTCTCTCTCTCTCTCTCTCTCTCTCTCTCTCTCTCTCTCTAGAAACTCACTCTTTTCTCTTGGGTGTTGTAGATCCCTAACTAATACTTTGTAATTACTTGTTTAGATTAAATGATTAAGTCTGGGTTTGCATCAATTTGAGTATTAGAGGTATTTTCGTAGTGATTGTGCATGCTCGTGCTTAGCAATCTAAGGGTTGTGTATGTTTTGTGCTTAGCACCCTTAGGTTTGTGCATGTTGGTGTTAGCAATCTAATTAGTCGTCTTAACCTAGCTTAGAGAGGAAAGTCCCCCTTTCAAGGGAGACTCAATCGAGTTGGTTTTCCTTCTGCTTTCTAAGCCACCTAAACTAGGTTAAGT